TAGTCGCTTGAAATTTGATTTTGAACACCCTCATGGACAAGTCGGAGTCAAAGGACCAGTGGATGGGTTGGAAACTGTGGGTAAAACTCGACGCCGCCACCGCGAGAAAAGTAAAAAATCACCTCCGATGGGGCCCTTCTCGATTTTTATTTCGTGCAATTTTTTCACCATTGTATTTACCATTTTGTTTTCCATAGTTTGATCGAAGAAAAACGCCCAACCACGAAGCTGAGCCAACGGAGTCGCCGCACCAGAAAATCCAACTATTGGTAAACCTCTATTTTTTGACTTTTTTCGGCCAACTGATGCTGCTTAACATGTTTTCTCTCAGGGATGAGTACAAAACCGATCGAAAACGGCCAGCCCTAGGTAAACCGCCGCCATGGGAGGCGGTGCTGTCACTGGAGCACGGCGGTGCCGTCGTGCTGGAATCCCAAAATTGACCGAAAAGGATTTTTAATACCGATTTTGAATTTTTTTGGATATTTTTAGGTACTTGGAGCGTGTTTTACTCTCCGGAGGAAAGTTCAGGGAACTCGGAGATTGTCAGTAGGCGCAGCTGAAAGTTTAACATTTCAAACATCGATTCGAGTAAGAATCCTTCACCTTATTTCTTATTATGGAATTAAAGTTTAATTATAAATAATATGATATTTTGCGTAATTTAAAAAATATCCATAATTAATTACAGGTTATTGATGGAGCCGGAACCGATTATTTATTACTATTTATCATATTTTAACTGATTGTTTGATTCTACAGTTTCGAATGTATGATAATACACTGGAATTGGTAAGATAATTTTGGTTATGTTTTCTTGATGCATGTATTGCTTATTTTGTGTAATTTATAGTTAAATTATGAATTTAAAAATTAAATATAAACGAAAAATTGTTTGATTAAGTGAATGGATGAATGATAGTCTTATTGGATATCCTGAGAGATGGTGGATAGACTGGGTACATAGGAAATCCTACCGTGAATGTCGCCTCATACCGGACGGGATATCGAGAATTGATATTTTGGCACTCATACCAGAGGGGTATGGGGATGGCCTGTTCAACCCTCATACCGAACGGGGTATTGATGGATAGTAATTTTTTAGTGCTTATACCGAACGGGGTATGAGGATGAAAAATGTTGAATAAAGGTTCACGCATAGTGGGGACATCCCTATGGACCTCCATAAATATTAATAGGCAGATAAAAGAGAAAGTTATTGTTTCGAATATTTGAATATGAGATTATGATATTGGTTGTGTTATTGTTTCTATAAGTCAGTTTTGAAAAATCTCGCTATGATAAGTATGCAGTAAATGGTTTTATTTATGATAAATGAATTTACTTAAATTAAGAGCTTCATTAGTTGTTTTTATGATTTTTACTAACTTTTATTTCTATATCGATGAGTAATGTGACATTCTTACTAAGCTAATGTATCTCACTCTTTCATTAACCATTTCATATTAAGAGGACCAAGATCCAGATCCAGATCTATAAGAGGGTTACGAATAGGATGTTCAATTGTTTACTTTCCACTTATTTTTTTAATTTTTCGTCATTCTTTTAGAAAGGTCATTCTCGTAACCCTATTGGGTATTCTGAATTATTGTGTAAGGAATGTAAACCCTAACGCTATTATTTCGCTTCCGCAATCGATTTATAATTTATTTCATTTTAAGTTCTGAGTCATTACATTATATTCCTTACACAATAATTTAAAATACCCAATAGGATTATGGGAATGACCCTTCTAAACGAACAAGTGAAAAATCAAGAAATAAATGAAAAGTAAACAATTAGTTATCCTAGGACGACCTTCACTAGCCTTTGAAGGGAGTCCGAGTGTTAAACTATTCACAACTCCCTTATTGATCGGAATTTCGTCGCCGGAGCACGGCAGTGCTGTCGTGCCAAAATTCTGAAATTAGCCGGAAAAAGTTTTTAACATCAATTTTAAATTTTTTGGGGTATTTCTAGGTACTTGAAGTGTGATTTAATCTTCGAAGAAAAATTCAGACAACCCAATGACCGTCAGTAGGCGCAGTTAAAAGTTTAGTATTTTGGGCAACAATTCGAGTAAGAATCTCTCACTTTATTATCTATTGTGGAATTAAA